CTAAGTGCAGGACTTTGCACTTGTCCTTGTTGAACCTTGTGAGACTTCTTTTGGCCCAATCCTCCAATTTGTCTAGGTCACCATGAATCCTAGCCCTACCCTCCAGCATATCTACTATTCCCCACCCCACATCTTGATGTTATCTGCAAGCTTGCAGAGGGTACAATCCATCCCATTTTCCAGATCATTAATGAAGATATTGAACAAAACCAGCCCCAGGACCAACCCCTGGGGCACTCCACTTGATACCGGCTCCCAACTAGACATCGAGCCATTGATCATTACTCGCTGAGGCCAACAATCCAGCCAGCTTTCTATCCACTTTACAATCCATTCATCCAACCCATACTTCCTCAGCTGGCTTGCAAGAATGCTGTGGGAGACCATATCAAATGCCTTGCTAAAGTTAAGGTATATCATGTCCACTGCTTTCCCCACTTCCAGAGACAGTCATCTCATCAGAGAAGGCAATCAGGTTGGTCAGGCATGACCTTCCCTTGGTGAATCCATGCTGACTGTTCTTGATCACTTTCTTCTTCTCCAAGTGCTTAGAAATGGATTCCCCAAGAACCTGTTCCATAATTTTTCTGGGGACAGAGGTGAGGCTGACTGGTCTGTAGTTCCCTGGATCCTCCCTTCTTCCCTTTTTTAAAGATGGCCACTATTTTTGCCCTTTTCCAATTATCCGGGACCTCCCCCAATCACCATGAGTTTTCAAAGACAATGGTGAGCGGCTCTGCAGTCACAACAGCCAACTCCCTCAGTGTCCTCAGATGCACTGCAGCTGGCCTCATGGACTTGTACACGTCCAGCTTTTCTAAATAGTCTCTAACCTGTTCTTTAGCACCAAGGGCTCCTCACCTTCTCCCCAAACTATGTTGCTCAGTACAGTACTCTGGGAGCTGAACTTGCCTGCAAAGACCAAGATAAAAAAGGCATTGAATACTTCAGCCTTGTCCTCCTCATCTGTCACTAGGTTGCCTCCCCCATTCAGTAAACGACCCACACTGTCCCTGACCTTCCTCTCATTGCTAACATGCTTGTAGAAACCCTTCTTGTTACCTTTCATGTCTCTTCCTAGCTGCAACTCCAATAGGTTTGCTTTCCTGATTTCACCCCCATGTACCTGAGCCATATTCTTATACTCCTCCCTAGCCGTCTGTCCAAGCTTCCATTTCTTCTAGGCTTCCTTTTTGTGTTTAAGCTCACTGAAGAGTTCTCTGCTAAGCCAAGTTGGTCACCTGCCATATTTGCTATTCTTCCTGCACATCGGGATGGTTTGTTCTTGCACTCTCAGTAAGGTTCCTTTAAAATACAACCAGCTCTCCCGGACTCCTTTCCCCTCAGACTGGCCTCTCAGGGGATCCTGCCCATCAGTTCCCTGAGGGAGTCAGTCTGCTTTTCTGAAGTCCAGGGTCCTCGCTCTGCTGCTGTCCATTCTTCCTTTTGTCAGGATCCTGAACTCGATTATCTCATGTTTACTGTTGCCCAGGTTGCCATCCAATTCTACATCCCCCCACCAATTCTTCCCCATTTGTGAGCAGTAGGTCAGGAAGAGCATGGCCCCTAGTTGGCCTCTCCAACATCTGCACCAGGAAGTCGTCTCCAGCATTCTCCAAAAACTTCCTTGATTGCCTGTATTGCCCTCTCAGCATGTGTCAGGATGACTGAAGTCCCCAATGAAAACTAGGGCCTGTGATCTGGAAACTTCTGCTAGTTGTCTGAAGAAAGCCTCATCTACCTCACCCTTCTGGTCTGGTGGTCTATTGCAGACACCCACCACAACATCACCCTTGTTACTCTCCCCTCTGACCTTAATCCAGAGACTTTCAACAGGCCTATCTCTAGTTTCACTGGAGTTCCAAGTGATCATACAGCTCTTTTACATACAATGCAACTCCTCCTCCTCTTCTCTCCTGCCTGTTCTTCCTGAACAGTTTATACCCAGCCATGACAGTGCTCCAGTCATGTGAGCTCCCACCACGTCTGTTATTCCAATCACGTCACAGTTACCTGACTCTGCAAGGACTTCCAATTCTTCCCCTGCTTGTTTCCCAGTCTCTGTGAATTTGTGTACAGACATCCAAGGTCACTAGCCGAATGCCCTACTTCCTCAATAAAATGAGGCCTCCCCGGTTGTCCCCTTCTCCTTGTGCTTCCTCCAAGTCTCCTGCTTCCCCACTTACCTCAGGGCTTTGGTCTCCAACCCTCAGCGAACCTAGTTTAAATTAGGGTGGTTATTTTCTAATTGTAGCTAACGTGAAGCTGTGTTCAGTTCTGTTGTTCTCCTATCTGTACATGTTATAGTATTCAATATACATGTAATCTTAATATATTATTAGGTTTCAGCTAAGGTTGTATTAGAGTAAGGCAGCGATTATCTTGAATCACCCATAACTGTTTGCACTTATAGTCAATGGTGAAGAATTAACATTTGACTTGGTTTGTGTTTTTGTCCTCCATTCAGAAATGCTAAGAAGCAAGGAAGCCCAGGTCTGGACAGACAATTACATATTTATATTTTAAAAGAAGTCCAACACCTAGCTAATGAAACTACTATGCAGGAGAAAAAAACAGCCTCTCAGATGAATGAATCTGCATATCTAAAAGGACACAAGATTGCAGTCTGGTAAATATGCATTTTCAGGGGTTAGGAAGTTACTGGCATAGTGTGAAGCGCCCAGTAGAAATGAAGGGTTGGCATGTTAATGGCCAGACTGCCTAGAGAATATAGCTTTTGCCTTCAGTCTTCCCAAGTAAAAGGGAGTGGCTGAGTCCCCAGCTAAGGAGGCTGGGTAAAAAAAGCTAATAAGGAAATGCAGGAGGCCCTGATAGAAAGGGTCAGAGCCAGAGATTGCATTCAGATCCCTGAAATTAGCTAAGGATTGCATTTTTGGATTTAAGGTATAAGGTAAGAACAAGTCAATGTTTTGGTATTTCCTTTTGTTTGTGTACTCTTATATCTGTCTGTCTCTCAACATATGGTCACCGGTTTGTTATGCTTATTCTGCTTTTTAATAAATATTTTTGTTGTTTGCCTCCTTACTGGTTGCCTATGACTTCTGGGCGGGTGATTTCCCAGGATGACCCTCTCCCTGGAGAGGGAGACATATAATTTCTTCTTTCATTACTTAAAAGTGGGAAACCACTTGATGCCAGCAGAGATCACTCACTGTAGCCACAGGGTCCAGCATAAGGACAGAGGAGCTGAAGTGTGGGATCAAGAGCTCTCTTGAAGCAACCTTAGTCTGCTCCTTGGAGCCAGTGGCAGGACAGCGGGAAGAAACTCAGAGCTCTGGAGGTTGCCCGAGGACAAGTTTGAGACAGAAATATCCACACCAGTAAGGATGCAACTTCCATCTGTCCAGCACAGCACAGCTTCTCGCCAGCTGGAGACTGACCCGGCACTTCAGCTGAGGAGTGAGGGCTGGGGAGAAGCAGGACAAAAGCATGGATGCAGCTCCCACCTTCTTGGCCTCAGTGCAGCTCACCTCTGGCTGGAAGCCACACACATGCCCCGAGCAGGGAGGTAGGACAAAAAGGTAGTGTTGATGGTGCAGCTCCCAGTTGCCTGGCCCTGGCACAGGCAAATCCTCCTTGCTGGTAACACGCTGCCAAAGCCACCTGGCCATGCCAGACTGGAACTGGGTTGTTTCAACCTATAGCTTGAAAAGGTTGCTAGCCTCTGCTCTACAGCTTTATTCAGTCCTCAGTTACAGGCCTCAGATGCAGTTCTAGCCCGCTGGAGGGAGCAGTAGAGCCGAAGATCTGCCAGTCTGATCTCTGCTCCCATCTTAAGGCCATATTAGAAACCTGCACAACTGGTACAATTAGCAGAGCCTAGCGCTTGTTCTATTAGACAAACAGGGTTGCAAATTAGATGCAGCTGCAGAGTTATTCAAGTAAGCTTGGAAAGCAATAGCTGCCAAACTAGTGATACAAATCATCTACTTCCATGAACATATTTCATTCAAACCATTTTAAAATGTTGCTTGCCTCATGCTTGAATGAAATGGTTTGAGTGCAAGAAATACCCCGGCACAGACAGAGACATTCTATTTATGTCATGTAATGAACTGAGAAAGCTGGATTTGCACTTTGGCTGGCACCAATATCCACAGACAAGTCACTTGACTTCTGTGTCTCTTGCCACCCCCAACATTATATGTATGAAGAAACAAAGAAGACCACGACCCCAAAATTCTGAAAGTGTATGATAATCATCATATGTTTTTAAATATCTGTTTTGGCCCAAGTTATTGGTTACTTTACATATATTTGAAAAAAAAGATAAAAGAGCTGATCCAAAGTGTTCACAAATTAGTTTAGCCTAATGGATTATACTACATCTAAAACCTACCAGGAGGTAATCAGTGTAAAGACAGCCATAGACCACAGCAGTAAGGATAAAAGTTACTCTGTGATACCACATACATCTTGATGGTTCCATTAATTAAAAAGAGAGAGAAACTTTCCTTGTAGAAGACATTAGGGTCTGGGATAAGCAGTGCCAGAGACAGACTTGAGAGAGATTTATACAGGGCTACCTTAGCAAGGGGCATTCCTTTACTGTACAGCATTTCTGTGTCCCCCGCTTCCCCCCCAATGAATCAGTAGTTGGAAGGGAGCAAGAGAAGGGCTCTTGTTGAATCCCTGAAGCTTATTGGCCATACACTAGACTAGCTAGAATTCTGCTTTTTTTTTTTTTTTTTTTTACAAGCCCAATATATGATTGATTTTTTTTCAAATTACATGTTTTGAATGGAACTTTATTTTACAGAAAAAGACTATAAAAGCATTAAGGACACAAAGTAAATCAACTTACTTTAAAGCAAGAGGTATTTACCCATGTTGATCTAAAGTCAGGCAGAAGGCAAGCCTGGGGGGCATCTTAGAAACTAATTGGTTGCCCTTATTTTAAAGCAAGAATCCTGATATTCATTCTACAAAATAATATGCTGAGTAGACAAGCAAGTTTTACTATTGCAGCTAACACTTACCTGTAAACAATTCTCTCTCTCTGCAAATCCTCCAGGCCACAGCATAGCTCTGCAGCATAAAAAACAGCTCTTTTTTCATCAAAGCCAAGATCTCCCATGTTGTATATATGAAACTTCAAATCTCCTCCATTCATAATGGTTAATACTAAACATAGAGCATCCTTAGTCTCATAGGTGTAGCATAAACTAACCTGAAGACAGAAAAATATTTTCTATTTAATTCATGAACCCCAAATTTATTTTTTTCATCTTTCTAAGTTAGTCAGTATGTAAATCATATTTGTAAATAGCCAAATAGGCAATACATAAATTCTGCTAGTATTATTTTGGGCAACCAGTCACTTTCATTTTTAGAGAATTGGGGATACCCCAACTAACTACAACATCTTTAGATTTGGCATTATAGATTCCAAACCATTTTTTAGTCTGGACAGAAAAGATACAGGATAATTTGACTTATGTCCAAATTATGGACATGAGGTATGTCCATAATTATGGGTATGAGGTACCACCATCTCTTATTGGTGGTACCTCAGCTGTCAGTCCACATGAATAATGAAAACAACTTGTATTTATACCATCTTTTATAGTCATTCTACAAAACAGTGATATTACCTATTTCTAAGTCTGCACGCAAGAGTTATTTTCTACCAGGAGAAATCATCCACCGTTAGAAATGATTCCAGGAGAGGAAGCAGTACATTCCACTCAGCCTGCAACTGCCCTCTCTCCCGTGCTCTTCATGCCTTTCTAAAACTAGGGTGATCCTGGTCTGGGGAAAGTCCAGTTTCCAGTTTGGCCTGGTCCAGAGTAAGAAGCAGACAGGAGGTTTGCAATACCGCTCCCTCTGTTTGGTTCCAAATGTCTGGGAGCCAAGCAGACTGTGCAGCAGGGCATAGCCTCCTGCCCACTTTTCACTCCAGGTTATCAGATGTTCAAGGAGCTGATAGGGAGCAGCTGGTGGCTGCTCCTTCTCTCCTGGTCTACAGGAGGGGTCAGAGCAGCTACTCCTCTCCCCTACACCTTCTCCAGGTCAGGGTGACCCCGGTATATGGAAGGCACAGGAGCCTTTTCCTACAGCTCTTCCCCTCTGCTAATCTCTGGAAAGAGTTAAGCCACTGGGAAAGTGTACAAGCATTCACTCTCCAGGAGTGACTTCTAACTGATTGGAGGTGGGTTATTTTTCTCCTGGGACTGCCATTTTTTCTCTGGGAGCAAAAGCTGGAATGTCTGTACACTCATGGTGTCTATCAGGAGAATTATAATTCTCCCAGTAGAAATGGAAAGTCTATACATGGCCCAAATAAGACTTTGAGAAACCCAGAAAGGCTACACAGGAATCAACTGCAGCCCAAATTATGTAACTCAGAATACTCAACTTCTAGACCCTTACTATAGCCACTAGATGATTTTTTTTTCTTGGTTACAGCACCTATTAGTAGCAAAATAAAGATATGTATTAAAACCAAGTATCACTTCTTGCACTGTTTGGCAAACAAAGTGAAAAAAGTGACTTTACAATGCCAAAATGTTGTATAGCAACTTGTATTAAAAATAAATAAACCTAAAAGTATTTAATTGAATTCAAACAAACCTAGCCCGTAAAACATCAGGCAATGACAAAGAGAGGGAATAATGAATAACATAAAACCCTCATTCATACAGCCAATTAAAAGATGAGACTGACATTAGGATTCACAAGAGGAAAATAAGTGTATTTGTCCTGTATAAGAAATTTATTTAATGATATGAACTAGAGAAGCCATTTCTCCTGGCCAAACTGAAAAAGGAAGTCAAATATCAGTGTAAGATGGCATGAAGACACTGAACGTTGGCTAGAGACATGTACTCACCCCTTTAGATGAGTTCTTGGCTCTTGTTTTTACACAAGTTAATTGACTTGGCTCAAACAACCTAACACTGTGGCATCTATACATTTCACATTTGGCCTAAAAAGGAAAACACTTCGCTCTGTGTGTTAACACATGCTGTGCATGTTAACCTAGAGCCCAGCATTTACTAAGATGTTAAATCAGATTAACAGGCAGCCTATTTTAAGACTGAAACTGAGTTGTATAAAGGACTAATCTGAGCATAGCATATACTGAATCCAGGCTATGGTGAATAGTGGTTCTCAACCTTATTAGACTCCAGGCACCCTTTATTAGATATGAAGTACCCCTTGGAAAATTCTTGCTCTTAGCTTGCTTCTTTTTTTCTTTGACTATGGAAAAAATAATAAAGCAATTCTGTTGCAAATAACTTGGAAAGACCACAGCAGGTCAGAATGCTTTGGGCACTAAGGATTCTTATTTCAAACCTCAGGGATTTTCTTACAAAATGTGTCTGGATGCTTGCACATCTAGCAGTGCTAATACTAAGCAGCACCCTGCAACACTCTTAAAAGCATCTTGTAGCACCCCAGGGTGCCAAGGCAGTCAAGGTTGAGCATTGCTGCTTTAGAATATTAAAAAGGAAGGGCACGTTGGCACTTTATAGACTAACTCTTTCAGACAGACATAAGCTTTTCACAGCTAAAGTCCTACAGCCTACTTTTGCCTAACATCAGATTAACACAGCTAACTAACTCTTCTCTAGAGTATTAAAAATACAGAAGAAAGGTCTCTGTGGTAAGATATTTTATTGAACCAGCTGTTAATGACCCTTTTCCATTCAAATGGTCTTAGAATCATAGAAAATTAGGGTTGGAAAGGACCTCAGGAGATTATCTAGTCCAACCCCCTGCTCAAAGCAGGACCATCCCCACCTAGATCATCCCAGCCAAGGCTTTGTCTAGCTGGATCTTAAAAAACTCCAAGGATGGAGAGTCCACAATCTCTAAAGATAACCTGTTCCAGTGCTTTAATACCCTCTTTGTGAGAGAATTCTTCCTAATATCTAACCTAAACTTCTCTTGTTGCAACTTGAGACCATTGCTCCTTGTTCTATCATCTGCCACCACTGAGAACAGTCTAGCTCCATCCTCTTTTGAATCCCACTTCAGATAGTTGAGGGCTACTATTAAATCTCCTCTCAGTCTTCTCTTCTCTAGACTAAATAAGCCCAGATTCCTCACCCTCTCCTCATAAGCCATGTGTCTCAGCCCCCTAACCATTTTTGTCGCCCTGTGCTGGACTAGCTCCAATTTGTCCAAATCCTTTCTGTAGTGGGGGGCCCAAAACTGAACACAATACTCCAGATGTGGCATCACCAGTGTTCAATAGAGGGGAATAACCACCTCCCTTGCCCTGTTGGTAACACTCCTACCAGTGCAGCCCAGTATGCCATTAGCCTTCTTGGCAAAAAGGGCACACTGTTGGCTCATATTCAGCTTCTTGTCCACTAACACCCAGGTCCTTTTCTGCAGAGCTGCTGCCCAGCCAGACAGCCCTAAGTCTGTACAAATGCATGGGATTATTCTGTCCTAAGTGCAGGACTTTGCAGTTGTCCTTGTTGAACTTCATGAGGCTCCTTTTGGCCCAATCCTCCAATTTGTCCAAGTCACTCTGAATCCTTGCCATACTCTCCAGAGTATCTACTTCTCCCCCCAGCTTGGTGTCATCTGCAAACTTGATGGATGTCTCTATGCCATCTTCCAGGTCAATGATGAAGACATTGAACAAAACCCACCCCAGGACCAACCCCTGGGGCACTCCACTTGATACCAGCTGTCAACTAGACATCAAGTCATTGACTACTATCCTGAGCCCAATGCTCCAGCCAGTTTTCTATCCACCTTACAGACCATTCATCCAGTCCATTCTTCCTTAGATTGCTTGTGAAAAAATGTTGTGGGAGACAGTATCAAAAGCCTTGCTAAAATCTACTAAAACTTGTTAAAAACATTCACTGGTCTCCCCACGTCCACAGAGCCAGTCATCTCATCACAGAAGGCAATCAGATTGATCAGGCATGACTTGCTCCTGGCAAATCCATGCCGACTGTTCCTAATTACCTTCTCCTTCAAGTGCTTAGAAATGGATTCCTTGCTCCATGGTTTTTCCAGGGACTGAGGTGAAGCTAACTGGTCTGTAGTTCCCTGGTTTCTCCTTTCTCCCTTTCTTAAATATGGGCACTATGTTGCCCTTTGCAAATCATCTGGGACCTCTCCTGATAGTCATGAGTTTTCCAAGATGATGGCCAGCAGCTCTGCAATCACATCAACCAAACTCCCTCAGCACCCTTGGGTGCAGTCCATCTGACCCCGTGGACTTGTACACATCCAGCTTTTCTAAATAGTCCCTATCCTGTTCTTTCACCACTGTTGGCTGCTCACCTCCCTCCTAAACTGTGCTGCCCGGTGCAGTAGTCTAGGAGTTGACCTTGCCTGTGAACACTAAGGTAAAATAGGCATTGAGCACTTCAGCCTTTTCTGCATCCTCTGTCATTAGGTTGCCCCCCATTCAGTAAGGGACCCATGCTTTCCCTGATCCTCCTCTAGTTACTGACTACATACTGACTCCCAATTATACTGATGGTCTAATAAAAGATATTGCCCCTGTGCCTTCTCCAACTCTCCCCCCCCGCAAAAAAAAAACAACCCAACAACTTGCTCATTATTCCCTGGACCACGACCACTTTCCTACCCAACTGCAAAAATAGAGACAGGTTTAAAAACAGGTTTTTCTCCTTGAAGCAACAATTTTTTAAAATAATCAAAATGACTTATCCATGTTAGCCTGTACACATGCTGTACAATACGGCAATATCAACATACTTTTGGGAGGAACTCTGAGCACTTATTCCCTCAACGTGCGACAGGGCAAAAGACTTCTCACAATTCTGAAATGTCGTCCTACACAGACACTAGGCAGTAAGAGCACTGGCTAGCTCAGTTATAAGTAGCAGGGTTGGAGTATTATTGTAGTTGTGATGGTGCAGGAGGCACGTGAAAAATCAAGGGTTTTTTGGTGATATCTTTTATTTGACTGACTGCATAGTTAGGTGATATGTTAGGCAAGCTTTCAAGCATAAGAAAACACAGTGCTTCCCAGTTAAGGTGTCAGGCCAATCTGCCTGTGCAATCAAAGGACTGGGTTAGAATGAAGTTTCAACCTAACCAAGTTTCAGTCCTAGTTATAAACAGACTTGAAACAAGATATATTCACACAGTTAAAACCAATAATATTATATGGACATAGTCATGGTACAGTTTCACATCTATAAATATGACAGGTCTTTACATTTCTCTGCCATACCAGCTAGACAACTACAACTCCCAAGTGACCTAGAAATCTGACCTAGCCTCTAATTCTTCAAGATACAAACCCTATGTTTGAGAAATAATGAAACTTCTTTAGATAAAGGCAGACAGAAAGTGACCACTTCATCAATTTTTCATCAGATCCTATATTGATAAATTCTGTAATGCACAAGTTAGTCTTGAAAGTTAATTGGCTTTTGTTTTACAAAGAGCAATGCATTTAGCTTTTATGAGGTAATGCTCACTCGTGTGAACTAATAGGGATAAGGATTGGCCACAGGATCAGAAGGGTTTGTACCTCTTATGTATTTTAAGACTAGAAGGGACTATTATTACCAGGGATCCTGATCTTCCCTGATAAGAAAAAATATAATAAATCACAAATTCTCTACTAAAACCCCCCATATCTGTGATTAAAATGAAAGGCCCCTCACTCCCCCGTACAGCCCCCACGGCTCTATTGGTGCCCCTCACTCCTCCCCCACAGCCTCCTGGCCCTGCTCATGCCCCTCACTACTACCCATGGGCCCCCAGCCTTGCTGGTGCCCCTTGCTCCTCCCTGACAGCCCCCAACCCTGCTCATGCCCCTCACTCTCCTCCACAGGCCCCTGGCCATGTTGGTGCCCCTCAATCCCTCCCATAGCCCCCTGCTGTCTACCCAGCCCTGCCAGAGGGGGCCCCCAGCTGCTGCATGTACTCCCAGGGAGGGAAGGGGGAACCCGCATCCTTCACATTTGTGCATGGGGTGGGCACGGGCTGCCTGCTGCAAGTTCAGGCAGCCCAGCAAGTGTGACCCGGTGCTGCAGGGAACAGTGGGGCCATGCAGGGATCCCGTTGCCGCTGCGAGGTTTGCACTGCCCTGGCAACGTGTCCCCTGCCCACACGGCAGCAGTGGCGCAGTGTTGTGCCCCTCACTGCTGCCACGCGCACAGGGGACTTATTGCCAGGGCAGTGTGGAGCTTGCAGTGGGAAGGAGCTGCTCTCTGCAGCCTTGCTGTGCCGCTGCAGGGAACAGTGGGGCCATGCAGGGATCCCGTTGCCGCTGCGAGGTTTGCACTGCCCTGGCAACGTGTCCCCTGCCCACACGGCAGCAGTGGCGCAGTGTTGTGCCCCTCACTGCTGCCACGCGCACAGGGGACTTATTGCCAGGGCAGTGTGGAGCTTGCAGTGGGAAGGAGCTGCTCTCTGCAGCCTTGCTGTGCCAGGTCACACCTGCTGGGCTGCGGAGGCCCCAGGAAAGGGCAGCAGGGTAGGGAGCCCGAGCCCAAAGCAGGCAGTTGTGCCTGCCCCATGCACAGATCTGAGGGGTACAACTCCCCCTGCCCCCCAGGAGCATGCACAGTGCCAGGAAGCTGGTCCCACTTCCCTGCCCCCTGGACAAGCTGCCCGCGGCCCTGTCCATTCCCTGCCAGGGTGCTGCAACCACGCAGTGTGGCCCTGGGCCCCAAACCCCACCCACAGCCTGGCTGAGTCTCAGCCCCAGCCTCAGCCCTGCCCAACTCCCTCCCTGTGGGGGCCTCAATCCCCTCCCCTGTACTTACCTGCAGGAGCTGCTCTCCAGGCTGCCTGGTAGCCATGTGCACGTACACACACGGTGCCCCCTGCCTGACTGTCCTCCTGCCGCTTCCCCCCAGCCTACTGCAGGCTGGAACTCAACTGGCCTGCACAGAGCTCTTTGCAAAACTGCAAAATTTGTGGGTTTCTCCAATAAAATGAGAAATCTGCATTTTCCTCCAGTAAAAAGGTAAAATCCTCAGTTTTCTATTTTTTCCATGGGAAACGGAAAACCCAGATCCCTGGTTATTACATAATCTGTCCCATGTGACAGAGGCCATAGCATTTCACTAAACAGTTCCTATAATCAAGCCTAGAAATACAGGTTAAACAAGAACTTATCCTATAGGAAGGTATTCTGTCTTGATTTAAAGAGACTTTGGGAATGAAAAATCCCTTATGTGCCTTGCTATATTGTTCCATTAATAATTAGCCTCACAAAAATTAGTTTATTTCTAGTCTGAAATTGCTTAGCTTCAATTTCCATCCATAGCTTTTGTCTGCTAAAGGACTGTATCTGAAAGTTTTCTCAGTTAAGGTGCTTAAAAAGCATGATTAAAGTTAACTCTAAGATACTTCTTTTGGATAAATTAAATAGATTGAGCTTCTCTCTCTTGGTGCAAGCCATGTTTTCCAAACTTCAAATAATTTTTTCTTCATTTCACATTTAATTTTAAACAGACTATTTTTAGAAAGAAAAGTATATTTAAATTTGATTTTTTAAACCTCTGTTTATCCACCTTAATTATTGAAACGCTTTCTAGGTTAGTACTAACACCTTTAAAAGGATTTGGACACATTTGAAAAAGTTCATTGTGACCACAGTAAAATACTTTTTTTTCCCGCAACAGGTGAAAATCTGACAGAAGTTTTATATACATAAATAAAATAAGACATGTTGCCTGTGGACCATGAAATACTTGACGGTCTACTAAATGGGTGCATTTCAGATACAGGGGACACTTACAGATTGTATTACACACTCCAGATTTATAACAGTTTGAAAATCATGTATGTGAAAAGTTTTCACAGTTGAAAGGATCTTTACAAAAAAGGGCTGCAGTAATGCCTCTAGAAAAATAGGAATAAAGGCAAAAATGATAAACATATATACATATTTCACAAGGCCAAAAGTAGATACTTACTACAAATCTACTATTCACTTTTTCTAAAATTATTTTTTCATTTAAAGCCATTGATTCTCCTTTTCTCTTCTTTATTCTTTTCTTTTCTAGCTTTTTACAAGCGTACATTTTTCCTGTTGCCCGCACTTGACAGGCACATACCTAACAGAAAGGGGAAAGAGGTCTCAGAATGAACAAAAACTTAAGTTTATAGTTCCACCCCCTTAAATGCTCTCAGGACAAACAAAACACAGCAGAGCTAATTAAAACTGGTCCCTGGACAGAGAGAGAGAGAGAAAGAGACAGCATGCATGAAAACGCTGTGGGGGGAGGGGAGAGCATAATAAAAATTAAGGATAAAAATTGTTTCAGAGGAATACGCTGTCTTTTATCCCAAATTTGTGTTTGAAGGTAAAATATTAATACACACATACATACACACACCCACCCACCCACCTTTCATTGGGGTGAATAAGTCAGATTAAAATTCATATCCAATGCAAGTAGATAAAAGACCCTATTCATGGTGTCAGTAATTCTGTCCTTTTACATAACAATATTATTAAAAATACATAGAAAACAATTAAATAATGAAACAATGAAAACAATACATTGAACGAAATAAATCTGAAATTGGCCACGTTGAACTATTATGGTACTAAACAAGAACTGAATTACATTCTCACTCCAGAAGAAGCATTAAATGGAAGACTGCAATGCTTTTTTAATAATTCAGTGATAGATTTTTTTTTTTAATTCTGGTGCAGAACTTTATTATCAACATTTAGGATACTAATAATAATGTTTAGAGTAATCAATCTTTTTAGTTTGGATCAACTGTAATTAATTCAAGTCCGTCATTTATTCACTGAATTAGGAGTAACAAGTTACCTTTTCCCCATATTCCCTTTAAGAAATGTCTAACAAACAGAGATCTCACAAGACTCACCTCTCCAAATCCACCTTTGCCTAGTACTCGGTAATGCCTAAACGTGTGCTTGGTTACTGGTTGCCTAATTGACAAAAAGAAACAATTAGTCTCTAATTTCCTGTTACATTATTTGTTTTTCTTTCACAGTCCTGTTTGTCTCTATCTATTCCCTCCTATCATGTAACTGGCACCCAACTGATTGGTAAATTAGAACAGAACCAAGTGCCATATAAACAGTGTGCTTCTGCTCATGGACCCCGGATCCCTCTTATGGTCAGGAGGGTGTTCTCTGAAGCAGAACCAAAGGTTTGTGATCTTTTTCACTGGTGCAATTCACAGTTTGAGAATGGATTTCCAAGTATTTCAGCATAAGATTTTCTGAAGAGTACACAGCACTGATTCAGCTTTGCTCCCAATGAAGCTAACAAGATGTTAGCTTTATTTGCCAGGAGATTTTGTGTTTCAAAGGAAGGTGTTTGGTCTACTGGTCTGCCCAAGTTTCTAAGTTCTCCTCCTGGCCCTGCCATTAACTCAGCTCAAACCAAGTTTTTCAATGTTAAATTCATATCTAGACACCTGGAAGCTTAAATGAGTTGGCCTCATTTCTAAAACTGTTGAAGAGCTATCAACTGACACTGACTGATGGAACTGAATGGTGATAGCACTTAAAAATAATCAGGCTATTTATTTAATTGCTTAAATATAGAGATTGAGAAACCTAAAAATAAGCTCCCAATGTTTTTGTTTTGTTAATCCTGATCCCTACAATTATGCAAGCCACTTGAATTGCACTGCAGTTAACCTTACTGTAAAACTGGCTAAATGCAAAAAGCCTGATTAATGTAATTGTCAGTGATGTGGTAGTACCAAGAAATGCCAATTAGTATCAGGACCCTATATATGCTAGAAAGTATACAAGTGTACAGAAAAGATTTTTAAGTTTTCAGTAGTTAAATGTAAAGTGAGATCATGAGATATTTTAAGTATTAATACCACATGATCCCAAGCCCCACTAGGGCCCACTTGCCTGTACCATCCACCCAATCCATCTCATTTTTCAGACTGTGAGCTTCTCAGGCATGGACTGTCATTTACTAAGTTTTGTAAAAAGACTTAGTACAACAGGACTCCTCTTTGCTTTCTGACACTGCTGCAATATATAAATGTTAACTATAACAACTTACCTTTCTAACCATTTCCATTGTAAAAACCGTGAGAAATGTATGCTTTCTTGATAAGCCTCAAATGGTCTTCCGCTTAAATAATCATGAACAACTCTGAAATAATAAGTCCATTTAAAAATAGGAAAAGGTACATCATCATCATTGTATTCCACAGTGGCTTTACCAAGATTGTACTGTTTGCACCCATGGCAAACGTAGCAATGTCTAAATCACTCCAAGGACACTCCAAGGAACTAATGAAAAAGTGGAGCTATACCATTGGTCAACCACCTGTGACTGTGGCACAGAGCCTCAGACTATGCAATACCTGTGGCAATGCCCAGTGCTCAAAGGCATATGTGCAATGAAAGTTCTTGCAAAATACAATAAACAAGCACAAGCATGCGTAACACATGGTCAAACATGGTGTGGAGACACAAGAAGACAATGCCCGCGTTTGCCTCAGACAAGAGATAAGTTTGCAGAATGGCACTGAGAAATATACCTGATGATGCACTAATGAGTAAAGAAGTAAGAGCTCTAGTTATTTTAACAGGAAAGGAATTTGTTCTCTAAATACCCAAGAATTATTTTCAAACTGAACCATCAGAACAGCTGATTTTAAAGGGTTAGGGGTAAAGGCCAGGGGAAAGATGAGATTTTTCTCCTAGAATAATTTAGGGTATGGAAGCAAGGGTGAAGGATCTCTCCTCCATTCCTGCCTTCCAGTTTCTGGACACAAGGTCAGGGTACCAAGTGTGGAGACACAATAACAAGCTGCTCAGAAGTGCTTCTAACTTCTTCAAGGCATGTCTGATAAAAACAGGATGCTATTATCCACTGACTTTTCACAAATAGACTGCACTGAATAACAACAACTATTTTAGAGCTTCTGGTCATCAACTGCATGTTAAAGGGCTGCACTTTGACTAGATCACAGGCTTCTTGTAAATCAGGACCTGAAATTACTGAAGTGCCCCTGTTGTGCTTCTCCTTCACCTATAAAACTTACCTAAAAATAGCAACATAAAATTACCCTGGCTGCATTATCCAACCTCTGCCCACAGTTACTTTTAGAAGCACCATTTCACAATTTAATGGAAAACTCCCCACCCACTCTTAAAATCTGTGTGTTCCATGTAATGAGTTCATAGGTCTCATTACTGAGAATGCAAAACTCAAAAAGCAGTAGATGCAGAATTGTACACTTCATTTACAGAAGGCATGAAACTGTGCCCACAAAAAAAAAAAAAATGTCCTGTTTGACAAAACCTCTATTACTTGTACAGAATAAACAGGACCTCAGTTTTTAAGATGTTATCTGAAAGACCAATCCAAAGTTACGTTGCACAGCATACAAGTTACTTGCATCAAAAGAATACAGGACTCTACAATTTCAGGGATATGAACATGGGCTGCTAAAATGATAGATCTATAAATAATAGCCAGACATCTGCAACATTCCCATCAGACTAAGCACCACAGTATAAGGGGAAAGATAAAACAGCCCCATCCTTCCTGTGGAGCTCAAGAAATTTACTGGAAGCAGGGAAGAGGATGACCTACATGACAGGTCATCCACTTTACTTAAAACTTCTTAATACGGTGTACTTCACAAGTCTGTTTTGATCTCTTATTCTTAGATTATTGTGCAGCATAGTGTTTTGAATTTCCAGGGAGATGACCCAAGCTGCAACAAACATGTTTCATGCAGACATGATCAAGCATGCCTTGAAGAACCAGTAATATTAGAAATACAAAGGCTCTACAAGAGTTGAAACATTTGAAGCATCACCACTTGAACTGCAAATTAAACAAAACTGAGCTTGCCATTCAATATTAAGATTAACTAATGTGACCAATCCTTTAAAACTGGATTTTTAGCTACAATGATTCAACATCACTGTTGGCCACAGTTTCATGATTTCTAAATAGGCATTATCTGTGAAGGAATACTGTCATCCTAAAGTCCAATTATAGTTTTTGAAATATTAGTTATATTACACCTTCCCTGTGTCTTCACAAGGTTATTTTTGTGATTTTTACATTTACTTTTCTGAAAGGGAAAAACCCACTACAAGCCTAGATGGAAACAACAATTGTATCCATAACAAAATAAGCTGGTATGATGCAACTGTTACACATCCCCAATTCTGTAGCAGTACAAATGTGGCAAAGCAAATGCACTGCATTTATATCTATTTGATTCAAGTGAACCAGTGTACACAGTTGATGCCAGGGGACAGCTACCTTCTCCTTTTCAAATGGGTGGCCTTTTAAAACAGAGGGGGGCAATTATTTCGGCCAGAGGGCCACTTACCAAGTTTTGGTGAGCTGGTGAGGATGTACAAATAAAATCTTGTAGAAGATTTTATTTTAACAAATTATAAATAAAAAAATCATATACTAAAAAAGCAAAAAGCAAAGATCTACTATAACATATTTTAATTTTATTTAAAAAAAATAATCTTTGTCCCAATTTATGTTTTTTTTGAGTAGTGTATATAGAGGCGATTGCATAATAGCTCAGATATACCCCTGTATACTGGGGAGAGGGGTGCACATCTCTGTGTGTTGTGGGGGGGAGGGGGGCATTGCCCATACACTAGATCCTGGGAGCCAGCTGGGGATGGAGGGAAGGAAGGAGGGGTAGCAGGGGGTACACGCAGCAGAGTTTGCCAGGTGGTGAGGTGCAGGTGCAGTCCACACCCTTCCCACCCCCATCAAGCCTGCAGCTGCCCCACAGCACTCTGCATGGGGCCAACCCTACCTGGGCCAGCCCACACTATGCTCCTGCTGGCACCCACCAACGGCACCGCTGCAGCCATGCATAGCTTCTCAGCCGGGCTGCTCTAGCTGCTGGTGAAGTTGCCAGAGTACTTGCTCAGCTCCTACCACTTCCAGCAGTTCCTCCTCCTCCTGCACTGCTCCAGGCAACAGGATTTACAGGGAAGCAGTGACAGACATGGGGACATATGCTAGGTGCCACAAACCCAGCCAAGTGGGGTGGAAGCTGCAGCCAAGCAGTTCTTGCTCCAGCACATGGGGCTTCAGCTCCAGCTTCCAGCCACCTTCCATGCACTCTGCCCACCTGGCACGATGAGCAGCCACTTGCAGGCAGCTGAGTGGGTAGAAGGCATCCCCACCAGGAAGCTGTGCACACTGGCTGGGGTTGGGCCAGTGCCATAGGCGGATGCAGGCAGTAGATTGGCACAGTCTGCTCCAGGCGGGGTTCTGCCTTGTAAGGAGCGCTATGGGGACATACGTGAGCCAGATGCAATCAATTGGCAGGCTGAATCTGGCCTGCGGGCTGTATTTTGCCCACACCTTTTGTCCATGCTCTCTCTCTCAGCTGAGCACTGGCAGATGCGTAGGAGCTGAGAATGTCACTTTAATGCCTTATTTGAGTGAGAGAGCAATAGGCCAAAAATGCACTTAAGTATCTTAAATTGAGATCATCTTCTCGGCTGAAAACTGCAAAATTATTTTATAACGCAAGCATTGGACTGCTTTCCTTTTACAAAAAATGAGACGTTAGTAACGGATTTGGTAACAGTTTATAAAACACCAGAAGGAAGCTACCCTCAACACACTTCTGTACTTCTGTAAATCCTGACTTGTACATGAGGAAGTTATATGCAGCTCTACCACTCAATTTCTTTCCAACTCAGGACAACTACTTATTTGGTAGGATTATTTACTATCTTCAATGTCATGAAAGAAGCATCAGAGTTTAAATTACAAAAAAATATGTATATATAAAAATGGAGGTACTGCTGAAGCTTTTATAAATATTAAAAGTAGAATGAAAATAATGTTTGCTAAAGACCTGCCAAAAAAAATTACATTACTTCTAGTCCAATATAAGGAAGTAACATTTCTGGAAATTTTGAAGGCATTGGAGGAAGGTGCACAAAACACTAGATTGGTCTTTTCTGTCCCCTGGCCCCCGCAAAAAAAAAAAAAAAAAAATGCACACAGAGAATGCTGCTAGGCATATTTATGAAATAAATAAATGTAAATGCTACAGCATTTACAGTTAGCAACAAATATATATAGTATTAGAGAAGGAGCTGTACACTAAGATACTTATGTACATTTTTGTCTGTAGTTATCTCACTAAAATAGGGAAAAAATTAAAATGTTAACAACAGAAACCATCAAAATTGTGAACTTGTAAGCAAGAAAGTTAAATCATAACAAGGGTTCTGAAATAGTATCTAAACAGACCTGTTTTTAGAAAAAAATTGGTAAACAAATATTCGCATACATATTCATAATAATATGTGATTGATACAGAGCCTGGCCATTCTATAATATAACTTAAACAGTTTAGTGACCAATATAGCATGGGAAATACTAATTGGATTTGAGTTTTTCCTTGTAGTCCCAATAATCTCAACCTATGTAAGAAAAATGCATAGTATGCGATTCAGAACTTTCACTATGACCTCAGGAACTTAACTGAACTGAAGATTTGCATGAATTGAAAGAACTGGAAAACTTGTTGCATGTTAGCTTCTTTGTTTATTTTGTACAAATATTTCCAAACATTGATTAGTTCCTTTAGCATCTAACAGAAGTTGGAGGAAGCCAGCAGATAAGCATCAAGAGTAAGAGACTGTACTATATAAAGGCCTTGCAAATTCCCTGAAGAGGTTCTGATTTTGCAGCATTGGAAAAAGTTTTCCAAGTGGCTCGGAGCATGTTCCCTGAGGGCAGGGGGTCCCTCATCTTGGCAGCGTGGCTGGTACAGGGCTCCTGGTGGCAGTGGCAG